GCTGAGGCACGAGAATTGCTTGAACCCGGAAGGAAGAGATTGCAGGGAGCTGAGATTGTGCCACTGCATGCCAGCCTGTGTGACAAAGCAAAACTGTCTCAAAACAAAAAAAGGGCCTCGTGCAGTGGCTCACACCTGTAATCCCAGGACTTTGGGAGGCCGAGGCAGGTGGATTATGAGGTCAGAAGTTCGAGACCAGCCTGGCCAATATGGTGAAACTCCGTCTCTATTAAAAATACAAAAAATTAGCCAGGCGTGGTGGTACATGCCTCTAGTCACAGCTGCTTGGGAGGCTGAGGCAGAAGAATTGCTTGAACTCAGGATGCGGAGGTTGCAGTGAGCTGAGGTCGCGGCACTGCACTCCAGCCTGGGCGACAAAGCGGGACTCCGTCTCAAAACAAAATGAAAACAAAATTATGAGAGGCTATTGTTTTGGGCTAAATTCATACATCAGGCCCCAACAGACCACATCAAACCCAAATAGAGTCACTCATGCTAAATGTGATATCATCAAACTATAACTTTAAAAAGAACACATAAATGCTAAAACCACGTTTGGTTTGGTTTGGTTTGGTTTGGTTTTTTTTTTTAATTGTAAACAGGACATTCCAACATTAAAAAAACCCTCTACTCTAACCTTTTAAAAAAAAATAACCTAAAGTCCTCATTCCCACCTTACAAAACCCACTGTTCTACTGTTTCCTGTTTCCCAGTGGATTTCAAGACCAAGTAAGTACATTTACAATGGTGACAGTGACATCAATGACTCAAGTTTATTTTAAAAAATAACTAAATGAAGGGAATTGTTAAATCAGATTTAGTCTAATGCGGCTTTCTTATATATTTTAAGTTCAGCCTAAGGGTTTCTCTGTATATTGTAAACTATAAGAAATAGAGGTGTAAATAGACCATAGCCTACACTTGTGCCAGTTTTGGCGGGGGGGGTTTGTTTGCTTTTGAAACACAGTCTTGCTCTGTTGCCCAGGCTGGAGTGCAGTGGCATGATCTCAGCTCACTGCAATCTTTGCCTCCTGAGTTCAGGTGGTTCTCCTGCCTCAGCCACCTAGTAGCTGGGATTACAGGCACCTGCCCCCACGCTTGGTTAATTTTTGTATTTTTAGTAGAGATAGGGTTTCACCATGTTGGCCAGGCTGGTCGCGAACTCTTGACCTCAGATGATCTGGCTGCCTCAACCTCCCAAAGTGCTGGGATTACAGGAGTAAGCCACTATGCCTGGCCGCCAGTCACCAAGTTTTAGCCAGTCAAATGTAGCCAGCTGTTCAAACCGTGTTCAAATAAGACAAGTGCCAAGCTGTAACCAATCTGATTGCACCTTATTTCCATCTTCTGTACCTCACTTTACTTTTCTGTCCATAAATCTTCCAACACGCGGCTGCGCCGGTGCCTACTCTGGCTCAGGAGGCTGCCCAATTCACAGATCGTCCATTGCTCAATTAAACTCTTTTAAATTTAATTTGGCTGCAGTTTTCCTTTCATTGATGGGGCTAATAATCCCCACCCTGCCTGTATCACTAGGACATGGTGAGGATCTGATGCAATTTGAGTTACGGGAGTATTGAGAAAGAAAATGACCTAATGGGGTAACGAGATTAGTTTTCCTGCTATGGTGAGGTCAGTGGCCTTTCTGGGGTCAAGAAGAGGGGACTTGCCTTGGCACAAGAGGGTAACAGTGTCTCCCCCTGACCTTGGGTATTTTGTACCATGGGATCTGAGGTGTACCAGGAGGCAGGAATCGTGATCAGAAATGCCTCGTCTAATTGTGCACAGCTGTGCATGTGACAAGTGGCTTTACCTCTCTGGGCCGTTTCTGAATCTGTGAGATGGGAACATAACCCCTATCCTGACTTCATAGGATGTTTTGGGGACCCAGGAGAGACTGGAGCTGGGTTGAGGGGACAACTTTGGAAGCAGGGCACCTGGCACAATGTCTAGCACACAGTAGGTGCTTTGTCTGCACTGGCTGGTCAGTTACCTCCAAGCTGACGGAAACTATGTCTGTCCTGTTCCCGACTGTTTCCCTAGAACGTAGCACAGAGATATATCAGCAGGTGCGCCGTAAGTGTTTGGGAGTGAGGAATGAATGAACAAAGTCGAATGAACAAGCATTGGCCCTCCCCGGGGCTCAAATGGGAGAGGGGAGCTTTGTAGGCTGCTCCCCCTCCCACCCCAGGACCCCGTTTCATCTCTCCTGACTAATCCACAAAGATTAACCCAGGGATAAATCGGGTCACGGCCACTGACCCAGCGGAGCTAGAGTGACCGAGTGTGTGCAGGGCGTTGTGGCCGCTCCCAGGGGCGCTCTGCTCCAGGATGGCCCTCCTGTCGCCCGTCCTGGACTTGGTCCTCACAGTGGCCCTCAGCCTCCTTCTCCTGGGGCTGGCCCTGGGCCTCCTTTGTTTCTTCACTTGTCGCCTGGCCAGGCCGCTCAGGTAGGAGAACTCACCAGGCCTGACTCCCTCCCCGGCCAGATTCCCCGCCCTAAGCTCATTCCACTTGTTCCTGTGGGATGGAGCAAGCGGGGCACTGGTCTCTCTTACTCTTCATGGTGGGGAAACCGAGGCCCGGAGAGGTGGAGCCCCGGAAGCAGCCTGGGTTTGAATGGCACGTGGTCGACGACTAGCCAGACCTCAGCTCGGTTTCCTAAACTACGAAACGGGGGCTGTTCATCCTTGTTGTGAGATCAGGGATGTAAGCAGCATGGGGCTGGGTGCGGCATGAGTGCCTAAGAAATGGTAGTGATGCTCTGTCCCATATCATTTGCCCTGGATCTTCTGACACCCAGCCCGAGGCTGGCTTTTTGCCCCACTCCAGGACACTCCCAGGCCCTCTTTCCAGGTTGCCAGAGTCAGTCCTCAGAGCCGAGGCCTGGCCCCTCAGCCCCTCCACTGAACTGCCAAGTAGCCGTTCCTCTGGAGCCACAGCCTGGCCAAGGCTTCGGCACTCGCCATGCATAATCAGGCCTCCGAGGAGCCGGAAGCCTGGCAGAGAAGGGAGGTAGGGGGTGGTGATGGGGCTGGCACACACCCGGAGGCCCCATTCCAAGCTGGCAGGACATTGGAAGAGGGTAGTGGGCAGCCGGGGCCCCTGCAGCCCCAAACTGGGCCCCTCTGCTTCCAGGGCTGCCAGAGAGCCTCTGTGCCAGAGAGGAGCTTTAGGCGTGGGGCCAGCATCCAGGCCCTGGGTTCTGAAGGCTTTCCCAGGTCCCCACCCCCTCCTTGTCCTGAGCAGAGGCTATGGGAGAAGGCACCTGCCTCCAGACCAAGCCTATCTCAATGCCTGTCCCTGGGGCCAAAATTCAGAGCATCCCAGCCTGAACTGGTGGCACTTACGGAACCGCTACTGGGTGCAAGGGCTCAGGATGCAGAGATGGGCAAGACGGTGGTCTTTATTCTCACAGAGCTTCAGGCTAGCGGGGAGGAGAGACAAACCTATTATAACCCTAAGAATAATCATGTGGGGCTGGATGAGCCTTTCACATCTCCTGGGTCCCTCTTTTATTTTTCTTTACTCACTCATCAGTTTTGGACTCTAGGTGCAGAGAGAGGAGGATGCATTATCTGTTTTAGCATATGACATATCTCATATGACATATGATATGAGCTCTCGGTTCTTGTTTATTCATTTTTTCCTTTGTCCCGACTCCCTGCCCCCCACTGCCATTCTCATGGCTCCCCAAAGTCCCTATGCTAGTGTATTTAATATGACCTTGGATTTGTAAGTGTCCTCGTACATTATGCAGAGTTCTGTCTGTTACATAGTGTTCTGTCCGTTACATAGTGTTCTGTCTGTGGGGGTGGTTTGCACTTACATACACTGCGTTTGAGTCTTTACATTCCTCACTCAGTCCTCTGCCTTTAGACTCCACCATGCTGCTGTTTCGATGTCTAGTTTTAATATCACTGCCACACAGACACTGCCTCCACCACTCTTACTAGTTCATTTCCCTAGTTGTGGACAGCCAGGTTGCCCCAGCTCCTCACCATCATAAGCCAGCGTTAAAAGGAGTTTGCCAAAGCTTTCTCCCATGGATATGATGGTTTCTGCAGGTTATTGGCATAAAGCCTTTTTCAGATTAAAGAAATTCTTTTCAATACCTGGTTTGCTGAGTGCTTCTGTCCCACTGATTCCTATAACCCTATTCCATCTCCCTAGATGACCCTGTCAAGTTTGATCAGGGTATTAGCTGCCACTTCTGTGCCTACAATTCCCAAATTTATACCTCTAACCCAGACTTCTCTCTCAAATGCCAAACACATATTCAGCTGCCTGTCCTCATTTCCAAAAGACATCTCCAACTCAACATGTCCAAAAACAAGTTCCTGATTGTCCCACAAAATCTACTCTACCTCACACCTCAAAAGACCACCCCAAATGCTGAAAGGCTGAATGCTTTCTTCCTTTCTCTCTTTTTTTTTTTTTTTCTGAAACAGAGTCTTGCCCTCTCGCCCAGGCTGGAGTGCAGTGGCGCAATCTCAGCTCATTGCAACCTCTGCCTCCTGGGTTCAAGCAATTCTCCTGCCTCAGCCTCTCAAGTACCTGGGACTACAGGTGCGCACCACCACGTAAATTTCTGTATTTTTAGTAGAGACAGTTTCACCACGTTGGCCAGTCTGGTCTCAAACTCTTAACCTCAAGTGATCCACCTGCCTCAGCCTCTCAAAGTGCTGGGATTACAGGTTTGAGCCATTGCGCTTGGCTCAACAGTATTTTTATGTACTAGTAATGAATAATTTCAGAAACAATGCCATTTACAGTAGCTCCCCCAAAATCGAAATAGGTATAAATCTAGATTCAGAGTGCAGAGTGCTAACCATTACACAATGGAACCCATAGGTATACATCTAATAAAACATATCCAAGACCTACAGGCCTAAGATGACGGAGTGCTGATAAAACCAAAGAACTCTGACAGTGAGCGGAGAGACTTGCTGTCTTCATGACTGGATGACTCTGTGTGGTAGAGACATAAACCCTCCCGCGTTGATCTGTGACTTTAATACTGTATCTATCAAAAACATGGTGGTGGAGGACGGATCAGGGATCACCAGATTTAGGGATGGGGGATTGTGCAACTATAAAGAGCTCAAAGGAGATTTTGCAGGTGGCAGAGCTGTTCTGGGTCCTGATTGTGGTGGTGGTGGTGGTTACGCGAATCCATTCAGGTGTCAAACATCAGAACCGTCGTTTTACACTTGGGGCAATGGAAACCCCTCCCTCCGGAGGGGGTGACTGATGGTAACCTAACTGCTAATTCCAGAATCAGGAACCGGTGGTCAGGTTTCTGCTCTGCCATCTTCCTCTCGGTAACCTTGGGCAAGTCACTGTCCTTCCACAGCCTTGGTTTCCTCATCTGTAAAAGGAAACGACAGGCCCTTTTCTGTCCACTGCGTAATTTGTTTGTGAAACCTTGTGGTGAAATGCCTTATCAAGTGTGGAGTGCAGCACATAGACTTGATTTCATTTTGTCGGTGTCCTTCTGTTTATATAAGCTCCCAAAGAGTAGTGTTTACTTTATTGAAATAAAACACACACAGAGAAAAATACGCGTATCATACACCGACAGCTTGTTGGATTTTCAAACTGAACCCACGGGGTCACCAGCACCCACCACCCAGATCGATAAGAAACAGACCTGCCCCGGCACCCCAGCAGCCCTTTCCTGTTTCCATGCCCTCCACGTGGAGCCTCCATCCTGTCTTCCAATACCCTGGGTGAGTTTTTATACCTTCTGTCGATGGAATCACCCTGGAAGTGCTCCTGGGTTTTGCTTCCTTTGCTCAGCCTTACCTTGCAGGATTCATTCCTGCTGTGAAGAGCTGTGGATCGTCCATTCTCCTTGCTGTGGCGGTTTCTGTGTTGTGAACACACACGATGTATGTATGCAGCCTGCCATAGATGGAGGCGGTTTTGAAGCCATTATGAACAGGGCTGATGTGCACGTTCTGCTAGAGAGAAGCGGGTCACAGGGCGCAGGTGGGCTGATCAGCTTTGGTAGATGCTGCCGGTTTTCCCATGCGCCTTACCGGTCTATACTCCACCGACGGTGAGCGGACGTTCCAGTAGTTACACATCTTCAGGAACTCTTGGACTTTCCTGCACACACACAGGAGAGAATTTGGGTTGGCTCTTCCCTTCCCCCAAACTCCTTCCTTAGGGCACTGGCTTTCAACTGATGTAAATATTTACCGTGCCAAGCACTAGGAGTGCAGAGAAAAACAAGACAAAGTCCTCCCTCCCAGCAGCTCCCGGTGTAGTGGCTGAGATGGCCCAGGAAAGTATTACTACCTTCAAAAAGGGAGCTAGCTACATGTGATGATTGAAGTGGCATGAAGCTCAGCGGGGGTATACAGGGATAAGTGACCATCCTGGAGGCTTCCTGAAAGAGGTGACTTCGGTTTTAAGTGATTTTACATAATAGCTTAATGTGTTAGTATTTTGTATTCAGTTAATAACATTTTTCTGATTTTAGGATTTGCTATAGGAATATTTGGAAACTATAAAGTAGAACCAAAAAAATTAGGAATCATCTGAAACTCCAAATTGTACCACTCAGTTAAGTGCTGTTAGATGTGGGATATTTCCTTTTAATTCCCGCTCTGCACGCCCACTCCCAGCCCCTACCCCAGAGCCCTCACTTCTGAGTGCAGCTTGCATGTTTTCAAGGTTGAATCAAGATCCCGTCTTCTGATGGCAGCGGTTTCTTTTTTTCTTTTTTTAATGTATTTTTAAATTAAAAAAAAAAAAAACAAAACTTTTTCCTTTGAGCTGGAGCCATAAGGAGAATTTTTTAAAAGAAAAAAATCTAAAAAAACCTAAAATACAAACATTTTTCCTAGAGGCAGGGTCTCGCTGTGTTGCCTCAGGCGAACTTCCTCCAGCTTCAGCTTCCTAAGTAGCTGGGATTACAGGCATGCACCGCCATGCCTGGCTTTTTTTCTTTAAAAAACTTTTAAAAAATGTTTTATTTTGTTTTTGCTTAACGTATAATAATTGTACTAGAGTGGGATCTTACCTGTCACAACACTTTCCTAATGGTAGAGTGTGTGTTACTGCTGCTTCCCACAACAAATGTCGTAATATCTTGGTCTTGGTTGAAGCAGTAATATTATTTCCCTGTGAAACTCTTGCCATTTAAAATTCTTCATCCTGTAACTCATGGGCACCAGGTTTAATAAGTTTCTCAGCTGCCAATGGGGTTGTTCCTTGCGATTTAACAGGATGACCACAGTGTGAAAACATTCTTATGCCATTAATACGCGCTCGATTTAGGCTACTTGGAAAATTCAAAAAAAATTTAAAAAGAGGAAATAATCACTCATAGTCTTACCACCCAGAGAAAACCACAGTTAATATTTTGGTGTATTTCATTCCAGCCTTTTTTTTTTTTTTTTTTTTTTTTTTTTTTTTGCCTAAGCTCTTCAATTACATCCAACTTTAAAAATATATAAATCTAAAAAAATATATAGATAGATAATACAGTATCTCAGCACAAAAGAAAATTTGGGAAATGCAGAAAAGACAATGAAAAAGAAAAATCCGTTATCTGTGATGTCACCACCCAGAAATGGCCACCCTTATCAGCCAGTCCGTTCACATATGTGACTCCTACCGTTTTTATATCTCTTAACATAAATGACAAGCTCTAGGAGAGAATGTAGCAAATGTCGGGGTCCCGAAAGAAAGGGTGTCTTTGCTTTACCCCTGGTTTTCCTGGGACTCAGTTAATTACAAGGCTAAAAGACGGAGTGCTCTAGAACAGGACTTCTCAAGGTGTGGTCTGAAAAGCAGCAGCCTCCCCTGGGAGCTTATGAGAAATACAATCAGAGCCTGTGGAGTGGGCCTGGAATCTGTTGTAACAAGCCCTCAGGGGATTCAGATGCTTGCTCTCCTTACTGTTTGAGAAACACTACTTGAGAAAGATTGGACTCTGGGAGGTGGTGGGCTTCAGATGAATTGAGTGGAAATTCACTTAGGAAATGGGCGGAACTGTTTTGCAGCGCGGAACTCACTGATGCTGACCCAACTGTTTGTGTGATTAAGCTTCCTGAGACAAGGACCACCGAGGTTTGGCATCCCAATGTCTAGCCCCATACCTGGTCTGTAATTGGTGCTCACCGAATAACTTGTTGAATGAACCAAGGAATGAATGAGTGAGTGGAAAAGTGATCTCTAGAGCTGTGCCCCACATGCTTCTTTTTCTCTTTTAATTTCTAGGATTGGAGCATCGGTTAACATCTGACCATTGCCAGCCCACCCCACCCGTGTCGCTTGAATTTCTGGGCTCCAGAGATAAAGCAGGTCTTGGGGTGCACCATGATTTCACCATTCTTAGTACTGGCCGTTGGAACCTGCCTTACCAGCTCGTTAGTGCCAGGTATGCCTGGGGACACAAGTGCAGGGGTAAATAGGTGGTGCTGATGGGGTAGGATGAGGGCAGTGTCTATGTTCAAGGTCACAGAACCAACCAAAGTATTTAAGAGCTGAAAGCAGTGTTAGAGCAGGAAACCTCAGCTCTGCTAATGCACATGTAGGTCACTATTTTCATATATATATGTATTTTTTTAATATAATTTTTTTTTATTTTTTGAGACAGTCTCGTTCTGTCGCCCAGGCTGGAGTGCAGTGGCATGATCTCAGCTCACTGCAACCTTCACCTCCCAGGTTCAAGTGATCCTCCTGCCTCAGCCTCCCATACCTGGCTAATTTTTGTATAGAGATGGAGTTTCACCATGTTGCCAAGGCTGGTCTCAAACTCCTGACCTCAGGTGATCTATCCACTTGTCTCAACCTTCCAAAATGCTGGGTTTACAGGCATGAGCCACTGCACCCAGCTTTTTCTCCTTTATATTGTACTAGTCTTTGATTGGGGTTTCTGTTCTCTCTTTTATCTTTAATCATCTGAAATAGAATGAATCCTCTGGACTCTTCTGAGTCTAGGTCCATGGCAACTCCTGTGGGTTTTGTCTGCTCATTCTCCCTCATGGGATTGCACATTTTGTTGTCATTTATAATTCTCACTAGTGAACTCGTCTTCCACACTGAGTTTTTTTGTTTTTCTGTTGGAGACTCATGTGGAAGCACTTCCATAGTGTGGCATGGTGTTTTCAGGACGCTAGGGGTTCAACTCATTCTAGACCAGTTTTTACTTTGATTTCTTGGTTTGCAGTTCTTACACTATAAATTCAGATCCCTACTTAGTCCTGGCTCAGAGTTGGACTTGAATTCACATTTCTTATGAATGACTGTCTTTCTCCATCCCTTCCATAGCTCCAAGGCCAAATGTGTACCTTAAAACAGCTTCAGCAGGCCTGGTGTGGTGGCTCATGCCTATAATCCCCATGCTGTGGAAGGCTGAGGTGGAAGGCTCACTTGAGCCCAAGAGTTTGAAGCCAGCCTAAGCAACATAGTGAGAACCCCATGTCCAAAAACAAACAATTAGCCAGACACAGTGCTGCATGCTTGTAGTCCTAGCTACTTGGGAGGCTAAGGTGGGGGGATCACTTGAGTCCAGGAGTTCGAGATTACAGTAAGCTATAATCAAGCCATGGCACTTCAGCCTGGATGACAGAATGAGACTCTGTCTCCTTTTTTTTTGAGACAGAGTTTCGCTTTTGTTACCCAGGCTGGAATGCAATGGTGCGATCTCGGCTCACCGCAACCTCTGCCTCCTGGGTTCAGGCAATTCTCCTGCCTCATCTTCCGGAGGAGCTGGGATTACAGGCACGCGCCACCATGCCCAGCTAATTTTTTGTATTTTTAGTAGAGACGGAGTTTCACCATGTTGACCAGGATGGTCTCGATCTCTTGACCTCATGATCCACCCGCCTCGGCCTCCCAAAGTGCTGGGATTACAGGCTTGAGCCACTGTGCCTGGCCCGAGACTCTGTCTCTTAAGAAACCAGCTTCCGGCCAGCCACGTTGGCTCATGCCTGTAATCTCAGTACTTTGGGAGGCCGAGGTGGGCGGATCACTTGAGGTCAGGAGTTCAAGACCAGCCTATCCAACATGGCAAAACCCCGCCTCTACTAAAAATACAAAAAGTAGTCTGGCATGGTGGCGTGCGCCTGTAATTCCATCTACTTGGGAGGCTGAGGCAGGTGAATCACTCGAACCCAGGAGGTGGAGGTTGCAGTGAGCCTTGATTGTGCCTCTGCACTTCAGCCTGGGCAACAGAGCGAGACTCCATCTCAAAAAAGGTAAGAAACCAGCGCAGCCTGAACCTGTACCTGCCCTGCCATTCCAAGCATTCCTCTTCGCATCAGCTCCTGTAGCCCCTCTGGTTTTAGATTTCCTCATTGATGCCGCCTCCTGAGGATTTTCCTTCCCCCTTTTCTTCCTTTTTCAAGCCACGTGCTACTTTTTATTTTGTTCAGCATTTCTGTATCTGGAGCTGGAGGAGACAGCCTTCCTCGGCTCCGTCCATTATGTGGCTAGAAGTCCCCACTTCCCTTCCCTGCACCCCAGTGTCTCCATCTGTCCAGTGGGGATAAGAATTCCTCCCCTTGGCCAGGGGGGTGGCTCATGACTATAATCCCAGCACTTTGGGAAGCTGAGGTGGGCAGATCACGAGGTCAGGAGTTTGAGACCAGCCTGACCAATATGGTGAAACCCTGTCTCTACTCAAAATACAAAAATTAGCTGGGTGTGCTGGTGTGCGCCTGTAGTCCCAGCTACTTGAGAGGCAGAAGCAGAAGAAGCGCTTGAACCTGGGAGAGAGAGGTTGCAGTGAGCCAAGATTGTGCCATTACACTCTAGCCTGAGTGAAAGATCGAGACTCCATTCCCCACCCCCCCAAAAAAAATTCCTCCCCCTTAGGACCGTCATGAGAGTCACATGGATAGTCAGAGTGTCTGGCAAGGAGGGATGCTCAGTGAATGTTGATCTCTTCTCTTAGGACGGCTGTATTTGAGCAGATGAGGAGATGGGGTGCAGCGGGGCACTGAACTTGAGCTGGGAATGGAACCCAAGCCACTGGGCGCTCAGGCCACTGCTGCCTCTGAGATGGCGGTGCCTTTTCTGTTGCATCCCCGGGGGCCAAGGTCATTCTGGGGTGAGGTCCCTGCTTTCTCAGCACTTACAGCCCACCTGGGTGAAAGATGAACTA